ACCATGAGCCAGAGCCGTTTTGCCAAGGAGAAGGTAAGACCCCTCCACCTCAGTCGGGAAAGGGCTCGTGTTCGAGACGTTGCGCTCGATGCCAAAGAAGTGAGTTGTCTCAGAGCCATTAATGGCAGTTTGAACTGGTTAGCAAACCAATCCAGACCAGACCTAGCAACTCAGGTGTCCTTCTCGCAACAATCCTTTCCACAACCTTGTGGAAGATGCCATAGCTGCGAACCATGCGGTCCGACGTGCAAAACAACACTCGGATCAAGAGATTCGTTTCTGTGCCATTGGTCCCGATGACCTGGCTCTCATGTGTCATTCAGATGCAGCGTTCGCGAACGCCAAAGCAGGAGCGACGCAAGCAGGTTTCATCGTAAGCTTTGCGCATAAAGATGTGAATCTAGGTAAAGACTGCCAATGGTCTCCAGCGTATTGGAAGAGCTTCAGGTTACCAAGGGTTGTTTCTTCAACGTTGAGTGCAGAGGCCCAAAGTATGTCGGTTGCTTCTAGCACGTTGGAATGGACCAATCTCATCCTTTCAGAGGCCTTAGACGGTTCTAGGTGCCCACAAAGCCTATGGGGTAGTTTGGGAAACCGGTTAACTATGCTTGTGACGGATTGCAAGTCCTTGTACGACCACCTGAGTTCCCAGTCATCACCAACCCTGGACGATAGGCGTACCGCCATCGACATCGTCATACTCAGGGACAGTATTCGTCGAATGCAAGCGACACTAAGAATCCCGACAAACAGGATGTTGGCTGATGCTCTAACAAAAGAAAGCCCAGAGGCCTTTGACTTGTTGAGAGCCTGCTTGAGATCCGCCCGATACCAAATAAGCCCAGAGGAGCTTGTTTTGCAGCGCAGAGCCCAAGAACGTGATAGACGAAAACAGTTTGCCTCTAACTCGAAATCGCAGTCTCGTGTTGAGGATAGCATGAACATGGAAAGACCTGCCGCACACCATTCGAATGAGTGACATAATAGGCCTGGGGAGAGTGCTTGAAGCACTCATGGGTATGTGTCATCTCGGGAGAATGATAGGTAGAAGTGCAGTTTTGTGATCCTCAATGCATAATTAGATTTTTGCCTTGATACAGTTAATGGCTAGTCCATAGAGCATGTGCTTGAAGTATATCACTCCTTAGCGTCTTAAATGTATGGTGACGCCAAAATATATGCACACATGGCTCAACAAGGTTCTCCAACTTTCGACGGCCACTTGTGTCATCCTTTCGCTTGTGACAGAGGAACCATGGCGATGTCCACCGGACAGAGTGCCTTCACTCCAGCGGAGGCAGAGGAGTGCTTCCGCCTTACCATGAAGGCCAGGAAGTGTGGTGCATGGGATGCCATCATGCACCGGGTTCGTGATGCTGAGGATCTGGCTTTGGACGAAGCTTGGTCTCCTTCCCTTTCTGGCTCTATGTCGGATGGATCGAAGCGATTGCGTGAGGACAGGGCTCCATCAACACCAGTGACGTACGGATCCGGCTATACAACTGCTGATCCGCCGATGCCTTCCGAGAAGAACCTGATCCCTAGCCCAGGTCCTGGTAGCGAGTTGCCACATGGGGTGTCGACAATCACCCACTGGGGAAAGACGGTGGTGTCCTTTGGAAAGTACAAGGGCTCCAAGAGCTATGCTGAAATGTTTGAAAGCACGAGCGAAGATTTGGCCAGCTATCGTAGCTACTGCCAGTCCCACTACCAGAGTGGATCACCGGCCTTGCGAGATTTGGTCGACTACTTCCGCGCCCGCGGAATGCATCATGAAGCAAGCCAGTCTGTCATCCCCGGCAGCACCATTCGACGTGTGTACAAAAACACTTAATAGGAGTGTCAACGAGCGACTGTGCAGGGACTTTGAGGCCCGAGCGAGTGAAAGGCCGCGTGGGACGCGGCGACCGCGTGGGACGCGGTGCGGGGGCTACCATTATATATATAATTGGCGATGTGGCGGCGATGATAGCCATGGCAGCCATAATAACTGAGAAGTGCATTGCATGCTGCAGTAGGTTTGGATCTCCTATTGCTACCATTCACACACCTGTTTGTGAGAAAACGAGTCAGGGCATTCTTTATATAAATGTTCGGCTTGACTTGAGGTACAACGCCTGGGCCCGCATCAGTTCGATCAAGCCTGCATGAGATGTAGGTGCAAAGCATGAAGATGGATGAATTGTCTTTACAAACCTAATAATAATGTAATTTAAGAGATCGGTTTCTGGTCTGAATGCTACCCGACCTCAGCCAGCTACCACTTGGGAAGCCTTTGACCACTTCGCCTACCCGGGTACCGGCGTATGCTCATCTCATTGCATTGAGAGTCTACATATTGTGAGCAAGCATGCGCCAACGATAGATCGATATAGATAGATAGATAGATAGATAGACAGATAGATAGATAGATAGATAGCAATACAAATAGCAATAGCATGCAATGGCAATGCAAACTGACGAAATCAAATCAGTCCTTTCCCTAGTGTATGCTTCCTGAGCGTGTTCAACAATGTGAAGAACGTCTTTATAACGTTGTGGTTCGGCACTCTCTCGATTCCAAACATCCACTCAGCTTGCTACGGTACACAATTCAAGTCGGGGTCTTCACGAAGAAGAGCCTTCTCCGACACAACCTCTGATAATACAGCAAGCAGCAACAAGCTTTTCAAGTTCAGAAAAATCGTGCTCGCTGCTTGGCCTGAAACTGGAGGGGCTCGCTGGCCAAGACCTTGACAAGTCGACTTATTATTTCAGCAAAATAGAGAGGACCCCGAAAGCACTTGAGGGTGAGACGTGGGGACCAAAATGGCATTGTTCCTTCTTGAACTAGTAACAAGATTTGTTTTCTCAACTGGGGTCTTTGCCAGAGGCAGATTGTTGATGAGATGAAGGCTAACGGCTAGACTAGTGTACTGACAATATAGTCAATGCTGCGTGCCGAACTTGAGAGGCACGTTCAGCCCTCTGCCTGACAAAGCGGCAGGAAATAGCAGCACGGAGGCAACACATAAACAGCAAATGCATTGAATATTGCATATTGCATCATCATATTGCAATGTATTGAGTCAACCAGGGGTATCCCGGAACTCGCAACAGCTTCATTAATGCGGGGTGTTTCACAGCAAATGTGTTTGGGTACGGTACCGCCGCGTTGTTTTCAGTTTCATAACATTCTCACGTTGTCATCGATTGTATTCACCGCCACATTGTCATCAATTTCACAATATTGTCAGTGAGAAATGGAAAGCTTGCGGTTCTGTATGCGCGGCGGGGCTCAGTGGGGTGTGTAAAGTTTGTGAAAATGCCTCAAAACAAGGAGCGTCCGTAGCAGTCCCAAGACGCAGATTCAATTCAAAAAAAATACCAAACATAATGTCAATTACAGCTGTATTGGCGTGCTGATTGTGGTTCCGCACAAGCCTCCCATCGGCTTACACAATGTGCCAGCATGTCAAGTGAAGTGAAAAGACCATCTGCAAACTGACAGCGGCACCGCCTCAGAGAGTCCAGATTTCGCTTGGTTGCTTTCTCGGCTGGCCTGTCACTGTGCTTCGAAACTGCATACAACTAAATGGACCTCTGCTGCAATACTTCAAAATTGACAGTTGCCTGGTGCTGCGTTCCTCTGCGTCTACAGGGGCCAACAAGGCCTTGAAACTGGCTTTGTGTGACTGAGCGTTAACATGGGCCGTTAAGTTTGAGCTCCGTGCACCCAAGTCCCGTCGATCGGCGAAGCGACCTTCGGTGGCAATGAAGGCCTGGCGGACTTAGATTGTTTTGACCTTTGACAGAGGATAGTGTTATATACATTGTGATATTGTGTTGACTGCTGGTGTTTAGTTTGGCGGCAGGGGGAGAAGTACTTCCTCCTACTGATCCTGCTCCTGCTCCTGCTACTGCTCCTGCTCCTGCTCCTCCTCGTCCTCCTCCTCCTCCTGCTCCTGCTCCTCCTCCTCCTCCTGCTCCTCCTCCTCCTCCT